CCCAAGCGCATTGCATCTTAAACGTTTCTTTTTGAGATGTGCGAGATGAAGGTAGCATGAAGCAGCAGGACCCTTTGCATATGGCTCACCTGAATCTTTCTTAGAAGAAATCAGAGTAAGGACTTTACTGCTTTGACCTTCCCAGACTTCTGTCTCTATGACACTTGTTCATAAAGTCCAAATAAACAGCAGACTGATGCTAACATGCTTTGCTTATGAATCTTATAAATCTTCTTCTGAGTCTTATGAGATAACTGACATTCGATACAGGTGTTGGAGTAAGTGCTGTAAGCCTTTGGCTTCCATCACTGTGGCCAGAAAAGGCTTCAGTGACACCCTATAGCACAGAGACTGGCAGTTCCTGCTACCTTCTCTTTGTACTAACGTTTTATTACTCTAAAAGGAGCAGGGATTTCCTCTGGGGATTAGAAAAAAAACTTGAGACCGAAGTACTATTTCATTACAATACAAAGCAGAAAAGGATGAAAAAGATAGCTAATGGTTGCCTTTTCTTCTTCTCTTCTGGCAATTGCTTCCTCTTTAGCAGCTTTGAAGAGAAGTTGGGTCCCTCTGTTTTATCCTGGTCTGTAAGGGCACAGGCCATAAGGGGACTTACAGACCTAACTGCTAGTCCCAGTTGCAGAATCCTTGATTTAGATGGCACTGAGACCCTCAGCATTTCTTCTCAGCCCACTCCTGCCTCTGCAAGTGCACCGAGTCCGATGCCCAGGTCCGTGCTACAGGCATGGGAAAATGATGTGACCCCAGTTGCCAGCAGACTCAGTACCCCAGCTAATGCCAAAGCTCCCAGGGGATTCTTGAACTAGATGTTGCTGCGCTGGTCTAGACTGTTGCTGCTTCCCAGACAGCCAAATTTTACATTCAGTCCTCCTCAGGTGAGACAGAGTGACTTTTGAAGGGCGAGGTTAGGTTCGGCACATGGATCCAAACCGAAGTCCCTGCTCCACTGGACTCATACCAGTAGCCTAGAAATTCCCAGAGACCCTTGGAATCAAACTATTAAACTATCAGACAGCAGCTCTTCTGACCCTAACACACCCAGATGCTTTTTTTCTACTTAAATTTTGCTGTTGAAGACAGGGAAAATGAAGCAAGGCAAGGTGAAGACCTTAATCTGATTGCTCAGCTTTGTGGCAGGAAACGTGTTAGTGAAAATAAATGATTTTTCTGCTTTAAGTTGCATTTACAAATACACTGGTGGTACCTTGTCTAGAACTGCTGACTCTCTTACAAAAGAAGTATTTTGGAAGGGATGACACATTTTGTTTCGTATAAGGTTCCTTGCTACTCACCAGTAAAATTCTTCAATACCAATAAATAATGAAAGACCTTATTTTCATATTGTTAAGATGTTTAAGTGTAAGTACAATACTAAGTTATAAACATGTTCTGCAACAGGTCATAAATGCAGCTTATTGCTCACTGACTAGTTTAGAAACTATTTTTTTTCTGCTGGATTTAACTTTCTGGTGAAATTGGTGAGGAGTGTATTCAGCACATCCTGTTAGCTGAGTCAATTGAAATTGCACCTGTTCTTGGATGCAAGTCATAACAAATGCAACCCATACATATTGTAAAGAAAAGGACTTGTATGCACTTTTTCCAATTAACATCTGCCTTTTGGCAAGTCATTAACCTATTTTCTCACAAAGAAACGGCTTCAATTGTATTATGCATCCGAAGCGTGCAAAAGTCCCTGAGGGGGCACTCTGACAAAAACATACTGTTCCTGGATCCAATGTGAACATACATATTCATTAATTGTTTGGGGCAAAGAGTACAGAATTTCTGATTTTTACAAGTCTTACAAGGTAAACAGGTTACATAAAGCTATGTCCTTGGAAATACATTTGCAAACCTCTATGTTCAGATCAAAAGAAAAAGTGCCTTAAGGTCCAACATTGCAACATTTAGCCATTTGGTGTCTCCCCCCACAGTGATAATTAGGAACCTCTAAATGTGCTCCCAAAGGAAGCACGTATTGCCATCCGAAATGAAAAACTGAGAAAAATACCTTTATTGCCTCAACGTTATGCTTGTTGTAATGCCCAAGATAAAAATTCCATTAAAATTCCACTAAGCTTTGACAGAATTACAAATAAAATTTAAGACACAGGAGTAACTGACAGCATTTCTTTCAATTTGGAAGAGTGTTTTGGTTTCAAAATGTCTGCAGAAGCATGTACAATGAGTTGCTGAGCCACTGCATAACACTTTGACGCTTCAGGAATTTGAAGTTGGGTTCCTCCAGAGACAGTCACCCAGCGATGCTGGCAGGAGAGGTTATTCCTGCTTGCCACTTTCTCTCTCTCCCCTACAAACCTTGAGGATCTACTGCATGTCATTCAGACACGGGTGTTATTTTTTTTAATAAGTAATTGAGCCATTTTTGCAGTAGCTGGCCTGGATGCTGGAAGCAGTCTTTTTCCAACAGGGTAGCCTATTTACATTTACTATCAGAGGGATAACTTAGCTTGAGGAAAGCTGGACTGCATCAGGTACGTGGTTCAGCTTGTTTAGAACAAGTATGGGTTTTCAGTACTTCACTACAGTCTGCAATACAGATACACTTTTCATAATCATTTAAAGACCCATGCAATTATTTTTTCACATGGTGCAGAAGCACAACTAAGGCTAAACAGCAGTCATTTTCCTCTAGCTCTACAAGATAATTCAAATTAGTCAAGTCGCTGGTTATTTGCCAGAGCACAATCCCTAGAGTAAATGCTTCTGAGAGTTTAACCAGTCTCTTCAGGTGCTTTGAAAGGAAGTTTTCCTATTCCATAGCTTTATTTGAAATTATATGGATCAAGAGAAAGAGATAACTAGTCCACATGGATGTTCCTTTAAAAGAAACATCACGTTGTGGTTGTGTTTTAGGAGAGCCATCGCAGCTTGAAGAAAAAACATCCATCCTGTTCTCAAACAACCATCTCTAGTTATACAGAAATCCCAAGTGTCATGCCTGTTGAATTTCAATATCAAGAGACCACCTGACAGAATGATAAGAACATATCTTAATTTGGAAATTTTATGTTAGTTCACCAGATTCACAAACAGGAGAGCAATAAACTGGATTAAGTAGTAAATGCTCCAGATAATAGGTACTGAAAAGGAAGCAGGATTAGTGATCGGAGCTAAGGCAGGAAGGAAAATTTCAGCAGAGATTTTATTGAAAAAATACAGAGGTAAAAAAAATTACCAAGTCTTGTTGGTAAATAATCTTGAAAAGCTTAATAATAAAAAAAAAATCTACAGATTTAAAGCATATATATATAGTCCATTCAGAGAAAACAAGAAACAAGCAAAGGATTTTAATAGCTACATGGTTTTGTGTCTTCTAATGGAGCCAAGAAAAGGCAAAGACCACAAGAGTATTTGCAAATGCATAAAGCAAAGTATATCTGACCTAAAAGACAGTATTTACATAACTATGTGTTATATAGCATTGTAAACAATTGCGTAATCAAAGGTCAGGCTGTTTACATTGGAATATGTAAGGCTATCCTTTCACAAAAAATCTGTGGCTAGGATGTTGCATAGAAATAGTTGCATCTAAAATTTTTTTATAAGAAGAGACTGCTTCTTCGCGATAAACAGTACTACTTAAGACTGAGCTGAAAATATGTAGTATGTAGTATATGTTTAGCTATCTGAAGGTATTTAGTATGAGAGAAAATGAAAAGTTATAAAAGAAAAATTGCTTTGGCTCGAACCGCAATAGCAGATGCACAGTGAGCTTCTGTACTTAAGCTGAACTCTGTTGATGTTAATGAGGTTCAGCCTGGGAAGAGGGCTTTATCTATATACAGTCAGTTGCAGAACTGGATTAAAATGCTTCCCCAATTTCAAGTGTCCTATTTTTCAACATAAAAAATGTGAAGTTGCAGAAATGAATGACTACTTAGTTTTGATTGTGGACTTACAACAGGTGTTTTGCAATTGCCATTTAAAAAAAAAATAGGTAGACATAAAGAAGCATAGATGTTATCTATTAAAAAACAAGACCTATGATCATCTTTCTAAAAATTGCATTTTTTATTAAAAAAAAACCAAAATCATCATGCGTTGCAAAGTCTTCCCTCATTTATGGCTTCATTCATAACATATTGACTGATGGTGGACATTCATAGCATGCAAAGCTTGAGCACCTGTGGAAGTCCTTGGATGATGAGAATCTTTTTTATTTATGATATACATTTCACATAATTTTGTGTTTGGTTCAAATATATTCTTCAGAAGTATGAAGCTGATTTTTATTTTTCTAAATATGAAAAATGAATTTTGATGGGGATGAGATAAGCACAAGTGCTCAACTGCATCAGTCTTGCAGCTGAATTCACACAGGTGCAATTATAGTTTCAAAGTTTAAGTGACTTCATTTTCATATTTGTAACCAAAAGTTTTTACACTAGATCTTCTTGCAATCATCACTAAAATGTTTAGAAGATATAGAGTAAGTGTTGCTACTTTTTGGTAAAATATTGAAGAGTATGTAAGGGACAAAGAAAACCTCTGGCATTTTTGGAGCTAGGGCTAATTAGGTCTTATTTAATTTAGGTGCGTGAGTAATGTTGCCTTAGCACAAAGAGCATTATTTTAACAATCCTTACCTGAGTTAAAAAACCTGCATAGTGCATTTCCATAATAATTGCTATTCATCTAAAAATATGTAGTTTGCTGCTTAGTTGTATTCAAAGATCTTATTAGGTTGAAATAAGAGTCCCATAACATTCAATGGGAATGATTTTAGAAAATATTAGTTTTGGCTGGGCTACACTTTATTAAATAAAAAACAGAATACCTGCTTGCTACCAATGTTTAAAATGTGTTGTATATTTTTTTTCTTCAGTTTTTATTACATGGACTTGTTAGAAAAGGAGGATTTTTTTTTGCTTATAGCAAAATCCAATGAAGTAACATTTATTATTTCCTTGTGAATATATGAAACATTAATCAATACAGTTCATTTTCATCTTTTATTCTTCCTGTCTTCCCTGAAGTAACATTTTTTGCTGATTTTCTAAGCATTCTTTCAATTTATCTTCAGTCAAAGTGAGTCGTTGTTCCAGGATTGATATAGTCTGTATGAAGAGGACAGTAATTTCAATTTGTTTTTATGTTACTCACACGGTATTATAAAAGTGTGCAACATAGTAACAGAAGAAAAATCATTTTAGCTCAACAGGAAAAAATATCCTAAGATGGCTTTTCCTTAGCTATTCCACTATTTACAACTGTATTCAAAAATAATGGCTTTGTATCTATGCAGACTGTCTAAAGGTTTAACATTGTTTTCACAAAATATTTTCTCTGAGAAATATATATGTGCATATATAAATTACTCTGAAATACTATGTTAAAGTTGCATCCATATTTCAATAGAAAAAGAGCCATCACTGGTGACCCCAAATAGTGTCTTCCAAAAACCTAAAAGAAACTTCTAAGGCATCCCCCAAAAAAGGAAGTGAGAAAAAAAATATACTATTAAAACCATTCTTCAAGAGATTACCTTAATCAGAAAAGGTAGGTTACTGGACACAGGCTGGCAGTTTCTTTCTAATCTAAGTTACTACACAAATCATTTTCAACTGATGACTCCATACTTCCCAAAACTTATTTATTGAGTTAACATATATATTGCAAAAGAACGCAGAAAAAAACCCCTTAGCCACTCCCTTTTGATTTGGTTTAATGTTAATATATTACAGACTAGAGTAGTATCTTAAAACATAGATTGGCTAAATCTGGATTACTAAAAAGTATTGAGCACTTGCAAACTAGTGACTCAGAGTCACTGACTGAGACTAGTATTTGTGTAGTTTCACTGACACTAGGAATTATTCCAGTGCTTAGATTCCTGCCTAAGCCAACACCTTGAACACTAAGTTTGAAAAGGGATTTACTGGTACATTGCCAATTTACTTTGTTCATCCCCTGCTAATACATAACTGTTCAAGCTGGAATCCGACAATGTCTGCTAAACAACTGGCTTCTGGCAAATCTATGCTAGATCTCACTATGGAAAAATAGTGACTCTTTTCCTCCAGACTTAAAAATACAACAATAATCTTTATGTAGCAAGAAGCTTTCACTTTAGCAAACACAATACATGCGATCAATATTTGCTGAAAGGAAAAAACCAAAATAGTCACTTGACTATACAACTATTTAGAATAACCCCATAGACTTTAATATTCTGATTTGTGAACATGGTTCCTGGGTGGGTTTTTTTTTTTGCCCATTGACAGCGTTATCATTTTCTACTGCAAGTGTTATCTGTTATTGCATACTTACTAGAGTTAAAACATCCAGCTGCTCCACAATGTGCTCCAAAGCATTACCCAGGGAGGGGGAGATGCCTGTTTGCTTGTCCACATTAGGCACAGCTGATTCGCTCTCATTCTCTGACTTGCTTTTTGAACTTGTTGCCAAGACTGAAGCAGGGGGACACTGCAGATCTTCACTGCTGACATCATCCTTGAATACAGAAACACCATTTGAAGATTCAGTTGCCATTGTCTTCATTTAATGGGAACCATACAAGAAGATAGGCAGAAAAATCTGGCTTTAAATTTTTTTAAAAAAATCTATTTACACATATATGCACACACACAAGGGCCTTCAGATTTGCTTCTTGTACCAGGCCCAATTCATAATACTTCATTCTGACCTAAGAGAGAATTTCACCTGTGATGGATGAGGCAATAAGAGAAATCTCACCAGGCTTTAGGTACATGTTTCAGGTACATATGATTGAGGAACTACATACTGTACTACTGGAGCTTGGATTAAAACTCGAATAAATACTATTGCTGACTGGAGTTTTCTTCAAAAAGATAGCTCTAGTTCACAAAGGAATTCATTCACAGCAGTCATATGGATGAAAAATCCTTATGTGACTAGATGATCACAAGGGTTCCTTCCAAATTCATAGTATGAAATCTTTGTTTAACATGAATTAACCTCTTCTTTCAGAATAAATAAAAGAAAAAAGTAGTTTTTAGTTGTTTATACAGTGGCATTACTTTTTGAGAAAGTGATTCTTTCAGAAAATGGGAGGAGGAATCAACAGAAAAGACCCACACAATGCAAAGTTAAGAGAGAAATAGCTTTGATGTACAAATATTGCTCCAGGGTAAGTGAGAGAGCAGGATCTTCCCAATCCTCAGTTTGTTTGTGCCTTGAAGTTCTTAATGGCACTTTTGAGCAGCAAAAGGTTAAATCATCACTAATTCATTAGAAGGTCCTTCATAACAACTTCACCTGTTTTATTAATCACTTTTTGAGGTTTCCTTGAAGACTTCCTATACCTTCAGATAATTTTAGTTTATTTTTACACTAAAATAAACTGAGGTAGTCAAGTTTTATTATCTCTAATTATATTTGCAATATCCACAACATTTACAAAATAAAACTTTTAAATGGTTACAATTTAACTGTTTCACTGAAATTTATCAACAGCTGATGAAAATATCCATTAGCTATGCAAAGGGGAAATTTTAGTCTTATCTGATATATTTAAAATACACAATATTTACAATGTACCCAAAATATACGTGTTGTAAAGCTGAACAGATTTTCAAAAGAAAGAGTCTTAAAATCATTGTCAGCCATTAAAAAAAAATTCCCGTAGGTCTATAAAATAATCTTGTAGAATGTAAATTGCTAGGCAGAGTTAGTGGCAAACCTCTACAAGATTACCTGGGCATGTTTATGAGTTTCTGTCAAGAAAGATTAATGTGTAGTTGACCTTGCCTTTGAATCAGGTAGGATCAGAGAGTGATGGATGAAATACTACTACTACAATAATGTCATGGTTTTAAATATCAGTAATACTAAATCATATCAATATTATCAGGAGCTTATACTGCTGCATTATCCACAATACTATTCCTGTGTCTTCAGTGCCATCCTGCACAGTCCTGATGAACTAATGTGCTCTGTTCTCTGGACTCACTGTTGCTGATTCTCCAAAATCTTTTCTGTCCTAAGTGCTGGGGCTGTGCTACCTACATCAGTGAGAGAGAACTAAGCAAGAGACAAGTTGTGTCCACTGTCTGTCTGGAAGGCCTTTTCTTTTTACTGGCAAAGCACAAGAGCAGACCAAAAATGCCACACACATGGAGTCAGTAGAAGACCATGGGTCTAGTGAGGGGGATGGCTGAAAGCAGATTCTGGTGGGGTAAGAGGGTTGCGTATCTTAGGAAAAGGAGGACAAAGAAGAAAGTCTCACTACCCTCTCTGGGTTAAAAGCTCCATTGTGCAGTTAAGTTCTGCAAGGACAGGTCCCAGCCCCCAGGCCAAGAACCCATGAAATGCAGAGCATGGGGTTGATAGAGGTAGGGGGAGATACCTATGCATATACTTCAGACCTTAACTTACAACGCTACAAAACCACATGGAACCCTTCTCAAGGTTTGATAGTACCATGGTATTTGGTGATATGTCACTTTCATTGATTTCATTATGATGAAAGAAACAGATAAATGAACTAGAAGATACCTCCAGTTCCCTTTCAGCCCTCTTTTCTGTGCTTGGTGACTGATTTATGGAAATGAACTAAGCATGTCAACTAATAAAGGTCTGATGCAACTAATACTGAAATCCATCAGTGATTTGTATTGATACTGGGTTGTGTCAAAAAATAAAAGTGTGCCAGGCATCAAACTACAGATTTCAAACATTAAACATTCAAGGCTGTTCTATAGAATGTCCTAATGGTTACAACATTTGCATAGGACTACAGAGAACTGGCTAAGGCTATTTAAAATCATGGCTCATAGCTCAATGCTTTGTTAGCCAGGCTGTTGCCTTTTAAAGGCATGAAACTGTGGAAGAAAGGGTACTCTCTCCAGCCATGCTGTTTGAGTTTTGCCACTGGTCAACAGAAAGCAGCTTTAGTCCAGTGGTTAGGATGCTCAGTCAGGAGCAGGTAAGTCCTGTTCCCATGAGAAGCTTTATATTTTATATATAAGGGGATAAAATGAATAAAAAATCCAAAGGAGAAAGGATTTGAACCCAGAACTTCCCCACTCCTAACTAGATGCTTTAATTACATCTTTCTCTCCAGTACTATCAATTTCTTTCTCCATATGAAAAATCTTGTGATGTCATCTTCAAATTATTCCAAAGTATTGTACATTGTGAAGGAGTCACTTGTTAGCACAAAATGAGACAGAATGCAAATGGTTTGATTTTTGGACAAGGTAGGCAGAAAACAAATTTCCCATTTCATTTTACTTTGCTTTAGCTCCTTTCTTTAAAGTGTTAGAAGTCCTCAAAGGACAATGTTCCAAATATCTCAGAATATCCTGGCTCACAATGTATCCCATGTACTTTTAGAAGAGCATGAAGTATATAGGATTATTGCATCTTAAGACTGTCCATATCTTCCCTTTGCAGATTTCATTATATGAGATACCATTAATTTAATCCTAGAAGAGCTCAGATTCACTCTGTTATTTCTGACTTACTAAGTTATAGCTGAGGTCCTTGGGAAACAGGATTAATGGAAGATTTTTGGCACGCTTACTAAATCACAAGATGGAGATAGTCTCAAATGCTGATTAACACAGAAAAGATTAAGCTCAATTTGGCATTCAAACGTTAAAGAAAAAATATTGCCATACCTTAAAGAATTCCTGCCTTACAACCAATCATACTATGAAGAACATCCTTGTGTTTAACTACAACAGGAGAGTCTGTTGGAATAGATTTCTGGGTGAGATTTCTATAGAAAGATAGTGACATTACAGAAACCTTGCTTCTGTCTGTAAATCTTGACTGCTTTCCCAGAAGCTTCCAAACCTCAACCAGAATTAGCTAAATTTGACAGAGAGGTAGAGGGCTCACTGATTAAGTTGCAACAACTTTCAGGAAAATTGGAGGCAGGGTAGAGATGGGACGTGTTGCAGGAAAGACAGGTAGAACCCAAGCATTATATATTCTGCATGGCAGCAGTAAACCTGCCCGGTTATCACATGCCTTATGAAATGCAGGCAGTTGATGAGGGAAGTTGAAAGTGTCAGTGAAAACAGCCAATTGGTGCAGCAACAATTTGTAAAGCTTGTGCAATTATTCTTTGTAGACACCTGTATGTGTCCTCTGAAAATTTTGGCACCTTTTGCTGATTTTAATCAAACTTAATGAAGAGGTAGGGGTCTCAGAAGTAATTCAGTTCCTGAAAGCTTCAGGAAACCATTTGCCAGAGATTCCCACCTGAGGTTAATGCAGCTCTACAAGTTCACATGCCTTAGCTCCGAAGGGGAATAAGGATGTGAGTTCCAGAAGTACAAGAAGGACCCAGGCTGGAATCTGTGTCTTCCCAGACACCAATATCAATAAGCTCATTGGAAATAAACCTAGCATGGTTTGTCTAATGTTAACAAAGCTACTTGTAGTAATGTTTTGAGAAGTACATTCATTTTCTTGCCTTAAATAACACAGCCAAAGCAGATGTAACTGTAAACTTCAACTGATGCTCTCTGACTTTGCTTAAAGGCATACTGCTTTGCAAGTTCAGTGTCCTACGGATAATCTATTAATTCTCAAGTACTTAAAAATAATAAAAAATAGTTTTGACATACAATGGCACTCAAAAATTTGCTGTCTGTGATTTGGAGTATTAGGATTTAAAATTAATTGACAAGTTGTTCTAAAAACAGTTCTAGTCTGAAGTTGGTGTTTCTCAGTTTCTTTCAAACAAGCCTGCTGTACTTCAGACTGAAAGTAGAGATTTCAGTTTAAGCTCCCACAAAGTGATTACAAATTTTGTTATTAAAGCCAACCTAAATAGGTTCTTCTAACCCGAGGAGGAAAGCTGTCAATTCAGGCAAACAGAGCAAATGCTAAGCTACTAAAAATCCACCAAACATTTTCTTCTTACAGGAAAATTGATCCAAAATTCAATGTATCAGACAAATAGGCTGTGAAAAATGCTTTGTAGCTCAGTAAATTGCCACCAACATTGCCAAGCCAGAGTACTGGAAAAGTGTTCTTGTAATTTAGTGGGTTAAGCAGAAAATTGAGATTCTTCTGTTATATACTCAAAACGTATAGGGACAATACAACACGAAAGTGCTTATATAAGAAAGGCAAAGGCCTTGATGTTTATCAAATCTGAAAGGATCAAATACAGATAAGCAAATAATTGAACTTTCAAAATTAGTAAGAGAAATGAAATGAGACCGTTTCAAATTTTCAACTTAGATAAGTTGTGCCAAAATGGTTGTTATTTTCATCATATTCCGGAAATTTGTAGAGATTTTTAAATGTTGTCAGACATCAAGTATGGTGCTATATCCTTGAGATGCCTTCTTTATATTTTAACCCTTCCTAGTATCTAAATTTACAATCTCTTCCAGCTCAGTGAAGGGTCCAAAACTGCTGAAATCTAATGCAACTCTCAAATGCCAAAGCCTTGTTATAAAGGACTGACAATACTCTCAGTAGATATACTTTACTTTTGGATACCGATC